AGGTAGTTCCTCCTTTATTCTTTTACTATGTCATCCAGCAAACAGCAAGAAGTAACTGTAGTGAATGGTAACAACCCGGTACTAAAGCAGGCTAGTACTGAGCAGATATGAGCACCCAAAGGGAAGGCACACTCCTTTGCCCAGACACACTCCTCTTGCGCTGGGCCTGCAGTGTGCCCCTCCCCCAGCTTCCGGTTCCTCAAACCACGAAGGTACAGCATAGCAAATACATAAGCACTAATAGATAGACAGAAAGGTTAACAAGCTGAAAATGCAACATAAGGACATAAGCATCACCAAACATTTGAGAAAAAAGGAAGGCGTTCAGAAAAAGAGAATGGTGGAGATGGGAGCAATGGCATATTCAAAGAAATAACAGAGTGAAATGAATCTGACTTCCAGTTAAAGACATGAAACTTTCAGTGAAAAATCCCATGAATGCTAGTAAGAATGAACTGAAACAAAATTTTAAAAGTCAGATCACGCCTAGATAAGTGCTAATAAAATTTCAGAAAACTACGGATAAAAAGGGAAAAAAAATCTAGTATTTCTAAAACAAAACAAAGCCCTCACATTACTTACAGTAATGAAAACTCTGAAGACAGTGCAACAACATTCTCAAAATAAAAACATAAAATGAGTACAACTGTAGACATTCCAAAATTTGAAAAGTTAATAAACACCCTTGAAAGAGAACAGCTAAATAGGATAAGAGGATCTTCACAACTTTTGAGTGTAAGACAGAAAATAAAAGTTACTTAAAACTCATAGCTGGACATAGTGGTATACATCTATAATGCTAGCACTCAGAAGGCTGAGGCAGGAGAATTGCCCTGAGGTCAAAGCCAGCCTGAGCCACATAGCAAGGACCCTGTCTCATAAAAAATAAAAAAAACAAAACAAACAAAAAAAACACAAAAAAACAAAAAAAACCTTCAGAATAGTTACATATGAATTGGTGACATAATTTATATAAATCAGAATGGTGCTGGGAGGGGTAACATAATTTATATCAATCAGAAATTAATACTTATTCTGACCCTCTGTTCTCAGGTCCTGAAGAAAGGAAAAAAAAGATTAAAATTATGAAGGCTCTGCTGGTTTCACTAGGCTGCCAAAAGAGGGACCAGGATAGAGTATACTGTTTCCACATTAATAAATTTTGTTGATAAACAAAGGGTAGGTCCCTGGTTAATCTGCAGAATGACAAATCACTCTGTAAATCAAGACAGATGAACATGGGGAAGGATGGAGGGCAGCTTGAGAAGCTTCAAGTGAAACATTTGAGCACCATGGCTGGAGCCCTGAATCTGTGGAGAATAGAGACTGGAAAGGAGTAGTTCCCTTTAGATAGGGTGGTTGAACGGAAGAAAAAAGAAACATCTTAATGTTTTATCCTGAGTAAACTTTTGGTGTATGGAAAAGATACAAAACTATTATAGTTTCCTTATTTCTCTTACCCAGCACTCCTACAATGTGAACATCTTTTATAGTCATGGCAGTACTACTAGAACCAGGAAATCAGCGCTGGTATATAATACTATTTGCTACAGACTTGAATTAAATTTCATCAGTTTTTCAACTCAAGTTCTTTTCCTGTTCCGGAATTCTATTCAGGATCCTAAATTGCATTTAGTTGTTCTTTCTTAATTTCCTGTAATCTCCAACAGTTCCTCAGTTCTTCCTCATCTTTCATGATGTTTGTACTTTTAATGAATACTGATAGGTTATTTTGTTGAATTTCTTTCAAAGAGGGTTTTCTCCTGATGGGACCAAGGATGCATGCTTGACAAGAATACCACAAAAGGTGTGTCCTTCTTAGTGCATCAGGTAGTGGTTCATGTTTATTATTTGTGATGTTGAGCTATTACTCAAGGAAATTTCTTCCATTCTCCGCTGTAAAATTATTTTTTCTTTGGTTAGTTAAGTATCTATAGAAGACAATTTGATATGTAATGTTTCTTTTTAAATTTTAGGTAACTTTAGCATATTTAAATATATTGTGACTGCTGTAGTTGTCACTGTGATATTTACTTGACTGTGATTTTCTACTTTTCTTTCTACAGTAATTGCAACTTCCTTCTTTCCAATAAGAGGAAAAGTTGTCCCCTCCTATTGGAGGGCAAATAACAAATTGTTTATTTTTACCTACATGGTCTCAGGTATATATTTTTTGCCGTATTAGTTATAGTCTAATACGACCATTGTTTATTTTCCTGCTCAGATTGGTCCAGGCTTGGACATTAGGAGATTCTGCATGTTGATTCCCATGAACCTTTGACAGATCCCACATTTTTTCTCCTCACCACAAGACATCCATGATCATTCTTTTTCTGTTCTTGATATTAATCACTTATAAGGCACTCTGGTCACTTTGGAAAATGGTACGTAAAAAACATATTTGGAATCTAAGTATGCTTATTACTACTGGGGAATCTTTGCTTGCAGGCTGTCTCAAACATATGCAAATGTATACTGATCCATGCATGTATAGATATTGCTACTTCTGTATCCAGCCACTTATAGATGTTAAAAACTATGAGTTCACACTGACATATTGGATTCCCATATCCAATCTACAAGGTTCATTTTAACTGGAATTTAAGACTGGAATGTCTAAAGCTAAATGTCTGGTCTTCATCCAATCAGCCCCTCCACCATCAGTCTTTTAATTGTGACTGCTACACAAATTATTGTTTGTGTATAAAAAGGAAAAGGGGTTCCAACTGGTGCAACATAATACAGATTAAGGATACAAGGTTATGCTATCACCTGTAAGCTAAACTAATTCAGCAGAAGCAACAGATTGAAAGCAAAAATGAGTAGGGAAAATGTAAGGTTTCCACTGGGAAAGGATGGTAGCTATTTTGGTATTTCATTTGCACTTTCTGCACCAAAGTCAGACAGAACAGATGATTACCACCTACTAAGCCAGGACTTGGCTCCAAATTCTCAAACTTGCATTCAGGCAGTCACTACCTATCAACTAGAATTCGCACTCCAGATAACACTTATCCCCCAAAAATGAACAACTGACATAAAGCATATTATTTGGGGAAAGAAGAGCATCACCAGAAATTTGTAAAAAGTACAGAAGAAAAAACCTGATAAAACTTGATAAGTGAGGTCTGAAAATATATTATGTAATATAGTTTGAAGGCTATAGTTCAGAATACAAAATTTAGTATCCCCTGGTGGTTTGTTGTTTACTTTGGTTTAAATATCAATATGGTAGATATTTAGCTATGGCCTGGCTGAGATTTCTAGGGCAGCACAGTGACTCCAGGCATCTCCATTATGAGACTCATTCTATGAGACTGGAAAGAATAATACTGAGGACAGAAGACTGTCCTCCATGTGCCTACTTAACAAGTAAGAGTTGCTGCTGCTTTCTTCCCTGCTGGGATTCCCCCTTCTGTATCATGCCTCCTCGTGTCCAACTTTAGCTCACCCCAATTGAAGAACAGTACTGAGTGGCCGTGAGTGGGTTCTCACCTGAGAACTCACATGATGGTGAGGACTTACTATACTTTATGAGGCTAGCTAGCAGACAGCTGGAGCATGAACTAGTGAGAAGTAAGAGGGATAGTTATGATGGAGGGCTAGAGGAGATAATAGAAAGGCTAGTCCTGTGGAAGGGCTGCAAGAATAATGCTCATTCCAGCATCTGCAAGAAGTCTCAGAAGGAGGATAGGTAGGATGCAGTGCAGAGAGCTGGTTTTCATATCAAACACAATTGATATGAAAAATATCTGACAATATGGTATTAAGTACAAATAACCTGGGCAAAACTCCAATATAGTTTAGTCCTCAAATGCATGTGTATTCTCTTTCATGTTATATGTGTGCTGCTATACAATACTGAGGACAGAGTGTAGAGAACAGGAATGAATACATAGTTTCTGCCCCATAAGGCTTACAATATAACACAATAAAGTTGCCACCAAAACAAAGATGAACCTAAGAAAGTCAACTTACATTCATCAGGTTAATAATATCCTTATTTACGATTTATGTATTTGGTACAAGGCCTCGCTATGCAGCTTGGACTCACAATGATCTTTGTATTTCAGCCTCCCCAGTGTGCCACCATGCCCGGTTTCGGTGGCTGGCTTGGTATGGGACCAGTATAGCATGCAATACTGGGGATAGAACCCGGGTTCTTGCACTTGCCAGGCAGGTGCTTAGACTGCCTAGCTATCTCTCCAGCCCGATATCCTTATTTATAAAACAGAATTACCAATTCATTAATACAGTTATGTTCAAGGTCTTAAGATAACAGGAATTCTGGATTATAAGGGATAGTAAATGCTTTATGTGGTATTTGTAACAGACAAAGTTGAGCAAATGGTTAGTTGACAGATAACTACTTTTTTTCATGAATAAAATAAGGGCAAACTACAGGTTTTATTAACAATATAACTCAAGGTGGCATAATATTATCTATCTCTGACTTAGGAAATGTTTTTCTCTTTCCAATAAAGATGAGATACTAAAGTATGAAGTACCATGGGTACATTATCAAAGTGTCTCTTAGGGTGATGAAAGTTGAAGAGTATCAATATTAGGTCAATTTACTATCTTCAACATCAGAAAGGTCTTGTCTTGAATTTTAAATATTAAATAAGTAAGGAAATAATACTAATAGTGACTATGCATAAAGAGTATTTACTTTGGGACAGGCACTACTTTATATTTTTTTACTAATGTGTTTTCAGAGTGAGTTGTTTTAACTTATAAAAGAATTGGAATTCTTTGGAATAAAATACATTTGTAGTGTATAATACTCCAGAATGGGTATGAGATTTTACCCTGTAATGAAACACATTAGTATTTCTGGAAAGAAATGTATAAAAATTCACACTAAGAGGAATAAAGATCAAACATAATGCTACAGTTTATTTACATAAATTAGTAGGCTTATCAGTAAGTGAAATTTTTGGTATACATTTATTGGTAAATGAAGTTATATAGACATAGACCAGTCATACTTAAAGTTACTTATTTCTTCTGCTACTTTAATATAATTTTTCAAGAAAATTTTTATGTAAAAAATTGCTGATGAAAATTAACTCATAAAACATACATGCAATACATGTTTATCAATTCAGGTTTCTTGAGGATCTTGGGAGTACAGTTACACTAACATTACCATCATTTACAAAACTAGGTTGAAGTTAAACATACGTAGGTGAACCAGAAAGAAGCTTCTCAAGTAATGAAGTGGCACTACAGAGAGGTCTTTCAAACTTTTCCCAGCATTTGTGTCCTTTGCACAGATTTTTGTCTAAGCAATTTCTCTTTAATTGAGTAAATTACCATGATCTCTTGTTTACTGACAAATGCACATTGTTCAAGGCCAGCAATCAACTGGTCGCACATTTCCACCATATGGTCTGTAGAGAGTTTTTCATCTGTGCTCACAGTGTCATCGTCATTACTGCTACTATCTTCCTCCTGCTGCTCTGCACACAGGCCCATCTTAGCAATTTCCCCCTCACTCAAAGGATGCACTACAGGTGCATCATTGTCAATGTTCAGTATTTCTTCAATGTCAGCTTCTTCTAACTTATTTACACTTTCAGCTGACAAGCTTTTAGCATAAGTAATGAGTTTTGATATCATCATCTTCTCATTAGAGTCCTTATAGCCTTCAAAATCTTCATCAGCAAGGTCATTTTCAAACATCATGGTAGCCCAAAGTCTGTGCCAAGCATTTGTTAAGGTTGATTTATCAATATCATTCCAAGCATTAGCAACTGCATAGATGGCATCCTTCAGACTAAACTCTTTAAGGAAATCCTGGATTTTCAGGCCTCTGTTAACTGAAGCAAGCATGCTGTTCAAAAAAAACTGTTTGTACTTGCTCTTCATGGAGCGCAAAATTCCTTGGTCACACGGCTGTATTACAGATGTCACATTAGGGGGAAGGTAAATGCTGAAAACGTTACTTTTCACAAGAAGTTCTGGAGGTGGATGTGCAGAACAGTTGTCCAGAAACAGTAAAATTTTGCAATTGTCTTCCAGTCCAGCTTGCTTGCAATGAGCTCGTGCTGCTGGCACAAAGTGCTTATTGAGCCAGTCAAAAAAGATTTCTCTTGTTACTGATGCTTTCTTGTTTGCATAATAATGTACAGGTAAATTGCCCACATCTTTTAAACACTTTGGATTTAGGCTCTTTCCTATCACTGCCAATTTTATTTTGTGTGTGCCTGCAGCATTAGCACACCCAAGAACAGTTAATCTTTGCTTGGCATCCTTGAGATCTACTGGTAACCTTTCATTAGCCATTGTTAAGGTTTTTCTAGGAACATAGCACCAATACAGAGCTGTTTAATCGGCATTATAAATTTGTTCAGGGCTAAGGTTTTCATCTGATATTATCTTGGCAAATTCATCAATGTAATTTTCAGTAGTTTCATGATCAGCTTTTTCTCCACACATTTTAAGGTATTTGATACCATGACGCTTTTTAAATTTCTGCAGCCAGCCTTCTGAATATTCACATTCACTTTCAATGTTCAGTTCTGCATGGTATATTCTGGCTTGTTTCATGACTAGCAAACCAGTTAGTGGCATTGCTTTCCTTCTTCGTTGTCGAATCCATTCAATCAACACACGATCAAGATCTTCATTTTTGGCCCTATGCAATGTTTTTCTACTTTTCATTAGCTCTTGGTTATCACTGTCACTATAAAATTTCAGCAACTTCTTCTGTTTCTTTAAGTCATATATCGTGGTGGTTCCCACACCATACTCTTCAGTAAGATGTCTCACAGACACACCAGCATCAAGCTTCCGCAATAACTCCACTTTCTGGGCTATTGACAAAGACAGGTGCTTTCTTTTTTTCCTTTCATTGTTAACCATAGGTATAGCATTAACTCTTTTGGGCATTTTCCAATACAATTAATCCGCAAGTCACAAAATGTCAACAAATAATAGTCACAGTCATGTGTAATGGATGGATCTGAGTGCTGAAAAAACAGAGGATTCATGTTTGCTGCTGGTAGGTTTTGTTGCCCAACTCCTGATGCCAAATGTGCGAAATACTTTTGGGTTTCAGAGTGCTGTTTTTGTCTTATTTTGGAATTGCAGAGCAGAAATTGTGGACCTGTATTAAAAATATCATTTTAATGATGAAAAGATTGAGGCTTAATTAGCGTTCAAGATTATTCATTATTACATATTCCTTCTGCTTATATTCAATCTCATAAAATTTGTTCATGTTACTGGACAGATTTCTTTTGTATTGTCTGCCAAGATGGTATGAGTTGGAATATTTTTAGCAAAGGAATCTGATTCTTGGCTGTGTGACTGACATAGTACGTGAACCCCATGCTGGATGACATGGACATGGCTTGGTAAGGTGTTAGAGATCATAAATTTATTCTCACTGAATATAGATGTCCCATTCTATACGAACTCACCTGTTTTGTACTTATTTGTGTGGCTTTTGCTCCTTAATGAAAAAAAAAATGAGCTCTTCAGATATGTGCCTAAATTCTCAAATTTTCACTGTTCACTCATTTGAAAGATTTGTAACTATGACTCAAATATTGTTAATCAAGTTCAAAACTGAAACATATTTTAGACATTCTAGTAAGATGTTTCCTTTTATTTACTATGTGGTTTGGGGCCTTATTTCAACACTATTTTGTAAATTCCTATTGGGAGCCAGCTTTTTTTCTTCCTCATTTTTGTCATCCTCATTTTGTTGTTTAGACTTTCAACCAATGCCTGATATGATCCTTTTTTTTTTTTTTTTTTTTTTTTTCTTTTGCATTTTCAGGGAAGGGTCTACGGGGTGTTGAGTGTCTCACTGCTAGATCAGACTCGTAGTGATTCCCCTGTTTATAGCATCCCAAGAGCTGGGATTACAGGAGCGCACCTCCATAGCCAGTCAGAATTGCTGTCTCAGCATGCCCCAGGGGTGGGTCCAGTACTGCGGGCCCTGGAATCAAACCCCTGGTCCCTGCTTGCAGGCACTTTAATCCGCTGAGCTTTTGGCTGGCCCACCTGATATGATCTATTACAAAACTCTGAAGCCTTTTTACTCAGTTGATGCAAGAGCAGCCCTTCAGGTTGAGAAGTCTATAAAAACGAGTCTCCACTCAGAAGAGTATAAGATTTGGGAAATAAGTATGAGAAATACATAAAATCAAGCAAGAGAGAAATAGATCATATTTGTTTGGTGGGTTAGAATACACATTTTTTCTACACTGTCCTTTCCTATTGGATTGCAATAGTAAAGCACTACTCTGTATTTGGTACATAGTGGCTCATACAGAAGCTATCATTAAGAAGTATCCTATTCAGAGTTAACCTGACCTTGATCAGTAACTGAACTTCTATGTGACAAAGGCCAGAAATCAAGCCCGGGACATGGCTCAGCAGTGTAAGTGCCTGCCTGGTTTGTGCAAGGTCCTGAGTTCAATCCCTAGTATCAGAAACAACAAAACAAAAGCCTGGAAGTCACTTATTTGTTCAGCCATAGAATTGTTCTTGTTTCTTCTTTCTTTTCTATGTGCCTTTTTCTTTTTTAGAACCAGAAATTGAATTCAGGGCTTCAAGTTTGCCAGGTGGGCTCTGCCCTGCTGAGCAACATCCCCACCCTCACAACTTCTTCTTACTTCAATATTCTCTTTCTTTTGCCTCCAGCAAGTATCTTGTATTCTTAACTCTCTCTTCATTATGGTTCTTAATATGGAAGTGTTTATTCTTTCTCCAGTATAAAAGAAAGGCATACTCTCATTTATCTGGAATCTTTATTTTTCTAAGGAGTAAATATCTCCTGGTTGTCCATTAAAGAGAGAATTCAAACAATTGGTTTTGGGGACACTTTCTTCAGAAATTAATCAAAGTATATAAAACTGCTTAATGAATGACCAAGAGATGGATGGATAGAAATAAAGGGGAAAGAAGGGAGATACAAAAGAATATGGTAAATACAAGTAGCAACTCCCCTGACAAGGAATGTATTCATTATATACATGAATAAAAAAATTGGAAATAAAAAAACCTCTTAATGCTTGTCTTTCTTATAATTTCTTTTTTTTTTTTTTCAGAACCAGGGATTGAACCCAGGGTCTTGCGCTTGCCAGGGAAGTGCTTAGTCCCCATCCTCCCCTTTTTTTCCTATATATTTTTATAAGTGGTAAAGTTTTGCTTTTGAACTAAGATATTTTGGCCCATGTTAGGATTTTCTGAATTTGAATGGGCAGTGGAGATGATTGATTCTTCTGTTTTTGGATTATGCTATCTGCTTGAGAGTGTGCCGTAACAGCAAAACATAATTTAAAAACTTAAAAATAATTTTAAAAGAAACAATTCTTTTTTGCTATTTAAACACAGAATACTAAGCATCCTAGGACTTGTCATTAGTGGGAAAGGAAAGTACCTCCAAACCGCCTACATAGTAGTAATAGCAACACTAATTATTTATTAGCATCACCATTTTTTAGGAACAGCAAGGGGCACTGGTGAATACCCACTGGTAGAAATTTTGAAAAGGTTCCTTTCATGGGGGCTGGGAGTATAGTCAGTGGGAGAGTGCTTGTGTATCACCTGTGAAGCCCTGGGTTCAATCGCTAGCATAAGCAAAACAACTAGTTATGTTCGGTGTGCTTATACTTTGCTTCTATTAATGATGAATATTTGAATATATCAAGTAATTTTTCAGGGTCTTTACTTTTTTCCATTAAATAAGAAGATTCAACCAGATCATTTGTAGGCTACTTTATATCCCTAATATTCTATACTTTTGTACTTAAGACTCAGGAGTTTTAGATGATTGAAAAAACTAAAATTACATTTTTCCTTCCTTCCCATTTTCTTTCTGTCCCTTTCCCTCATTGTTCCCTTCCTTCTAGTATTATGAGATCTCTGTGTGCATACAGCAAAGACTACATTTACTGAAACTGTTCTCATTATTTTATAATTCATTACTGTGATTCACAGCTTTCCTTAACCAAAAAATAGTAAGATTATTCATGAGATCATTATTTCTCCAAGTAATCTCAAAAGTAAACAATAAAGATATTTTCTAAAATAAAAAGATCGTATTAACATGATGCTACTTCCTTCTGAAGAAGCCAGAATGCTGAAATAGCTCATTAGATTAAAAATTCCAGAATTACATGGATTTACCAGAGGGCTGCAATGGCTGCTGAAAAATGTGCATGTGAAGTTCACTTGCACCACCTTGTGCTATTTCCAAGCCAATGCAACCCATGATCTACAACAGTCCCATTTTGATTTTATATCTGACTGGACAATCCAGTAGGTGATGTAGCTTTTCATTTACGTAATATTACAGACAGTGAAGTAACGTTTTCAGACATTGGTGCTGTGCTTTGCTTTCATGCTCCCCCAACATTGCCGCAGAGGCATCGCCACTGACTTGTGGAGAATTGAGGTGGTTGTACTGGGGATACAAAGACAAAGAAATGGTATTGATCTGAATGACTCCCTAAAAAGAGAAGAGCAGCACAGGAAACCCAGTGAAGGGCTGGGAGCCAGCCAGTTGTGGAGAACTTATTTGCAAGCCAAGTCACCTGTTACCATTTGAGTGAACATGCCACTTTGGGGCGAGGAGCCACAGGTGCTGTTTTCATCACCGTCAGGCCATTTAGTCACCTTGACTAGGCCTCTTGTCTCATCCACATGAGGGATGTCCACTTGTACCCTAAGACTTTGCTAAGCTTTGCTAAGCTTCTACCTTAATTTTTCTCTGTAGTAATTCAGAACACTCATGAGCCTTTTCACGATAGCATGAGTTCTTTCACGATTAGAGGATGGTAAAGATGAATTAGAAATAAAAGCCACAGGGCTGGCCAAACAGCTCAGTGGATTAAAGCGCCTGTTTCTTCATTTGTATGTATGCACACACATGTATATATTATAAAAATACCAGACCAAATAAAACAGTATGTAAAAAAACTCAAAGAGGTAATTATTCATACATTTGAACAATAAACTTTTATTGAATATATAATATAAACTATATTTAACTCCTATTTTGAAATCAGGTCCTGTGTTGGATACTGAGAATTTAAAAAAAAAGGGAAGAAAAAACAAGGAGGGAGAGAGGGAGGGAGGGAAAGAGGGAAGGATGGAAGGAGGTGGATGGGGGAGAGAGAGAGAGCGAGAGAGAGAGAGAGAGCGCGAGCATGAGCAAGCACCTCACTGTCTTCAAGGAGTTACAAGGATGGTAGAGGTGCTATGACTTTGTTCATAGACTATATATTCATTGAAGGCCCACTATGTGCCAGGCATGGATTTATATTCTAGAAATCGAGTAATGAACAAACTGAATTAAGGTCTTCATTTCATAAGCCGTAATAGGAAAGACAGTATAAATAAGACAATTTCAGGTACCTTAAGTATTATGAAGAAAGTAGCAGGCCACTGTGATAGGAAGTGACTGGATGGGGATTAAAGGGAGTAATATCAGGAAAGGCTGGCAGGTGTCCCTTTCTGGATAGTACAATTAAGAATAATGAGAAGTTTGTCATGCAAAAGCATTTTGGAAAAAAAAAGTACAGAGGCAGATCCAGTGAGATAGCTCAGCAGACTAAGTGCCTGCTCAGGCAAGTGCAGGGACCAGGGTTCGATCCCCAGCACCACAGGCATTACCAGTCCTGCCCACAGGTCCACTGGGCCGGGCACCGAGACCACACATGGTGGTATATGCCTGTAATCCCAGGAGAATCACTAGAGTCTGAGCTTCATAGTGAGACCCTGTACCAAATACATTAAAAAAAAAAAAAAAAAAAAGTACAGACACTCTTGGCCAAGTACCAGCCTGGTGTGTTCTAGAAAGAGGGCCAGTGATGCAGCCTGGGCAGGCTCAGACCTGAGGAGCACCCTTCACAAAGGACATGTTGCAATTTCACAGCCTGACAGCTTCATAAACGAATGCTTCTTTTCTCTGACACAATAAGCTTCAAAAACATTCATTACAAGTTTAAAAAGAGCTTATGATAAAAATTCCTACCCTTTTGCACTTTCAGTTGTACTTCCCAGAAGTAAACAATTCCATAATACTTTTAAAGACTTTTTGGCATATATATACATAAAGATATATATATGTATATGTATATGTAAAGATACAAAGACATATCTATCTTTATATTTTAAATACACATGTACCTTTAAATAAATATATCTATTCAAATATAATATATAAATACAAATGCCCTTATGGACTATCGTCTTTTTTTGGTTATGTATTTGGTACAGGGTCTTACTAAGCAGCTCAGACTTGTACTGAGCTTCCTGTTTTAAGCCTCCCCAGCACTGGGATTACAGGCGTGTATGCCTGGTCTCAGTGGTCGGCTCAGCATGTCTGGGGGTGGGACCTGCGTGGGATTATCATCTATTTACTTTGTACAATGTGAGATACACATTCATCTCAAGACAGTTTTTCCCCTTCTATTGATTACCTTTACATCTTTAAGTATTAAACTTCTAGATTCTGTTTCTTCACTTCTACTGGCTGTGTGTGCACGCCGCATGTGTTTGTAGTGGTGTTAGAAGGGAACCCAAGGCTTGCCAAGGCAAGTGCTCTCCCACTGAGCTCCACCCTAGCCCTGTAAGACTGAGCTATATAGACTCAGTCCTTCCTGTGGATCCTTCTTCTACCTTCCCTTTATATCTCTGTGGGGCACAATTCCCACTCCTGCAAAGTTTAATTCAAACTTTTTTTTTTTATGGCATATTGTAAGAGCCCTTTATGACCTAGGGCCTACATACTTTATCTCCTATTATCCAATGTAGCTGTACCTACAGTTAAACTGAAGTATGTATATATTTATAGTTTTAGAAGCTTTTGTGTGTCCTTGCCTTTTCTTTACTGCTTGTCTTCCTTGCCTTTTCTTTTTCTTTTTTTTTTTTAAATTTATTTATTTATTTGTGTGTGTGTGTGTGTGGCCAGCTCAGCCCACCAGGGGGCGGGGCTGGCTGGCATGTGGTGCTGGGGGATTGAACCGAGGTCCCTTTGCTTTGCTAAGCTTGTTCTAAGTAGGTGCTTTAGACCACTGAGCCATCTCACCAGCCCCTTCCTTGCCTCTTCTTTACCGCTTCATGTCTTTTGATAGCTTGAAGTGCCTTCCACCTATAATTTACTGGCAAATCTCATTATTCATTTAGTCCAATATTTAAAAACTTTTTCCTGGTAGGTGTCATTTATTAAATAAAAATATTTATTGAATGTTACATATAAGGCATAGCTCTAATGGTGTAGGGTATAGTGGCCTAAGACAGACACTTAGCTTGCATTCTAGTGATTTAATCAACAGACTTAGTAAGAAGATTGTCCGTCCAACAAACTTGAGATTAGCTCTGGTTACATAGTGAGTTGAAGAACAAGTTGAACTACATCTTGAGACCCTGTCTAAAAAAAAGCAAATAACCACAATAATGAAACCTACTGTGTTCCAGAGATAATACTAAGTGCTATTTCAATTCTTAGAACTTTATGAAATTAGAGAAATTAAATATCCTTCTTAGAGTCACTTCCTATAGGTAGTTGAGCTTATATTTAAATTCAAATTCTGACTTCACAGCCATTACTCTTTTTTTGAGACAGGCTCTTGTTATGCTGTCCAGGCTGATCTTGAATTCACTATGTAGCCCAGACTGGCTTCAGATTTGAGGTTATCCTCCTGCCCCAGCCTCCCAAATACTAGGATTATGAACATGAGCCACCATGCCTGATTTAGAGTTTGTGCTTCCATGCTATATTCCTTCTGCTCTAAGTGCCCTTCATACACATCTATGATAGTATTTGTCATATTATTTCAAAATCTTGTTTGTCTCAATTCTCAAGATGATTCCGAACTAGTACCATTCTAGAAGTACAGGACAGAAGTTAGCATGTTATACAGAAAGATTCCTTAGGGCATTAGAAATTCAGTCAGTCTTGAAACCCCAGATTGAGAAAGACTGTTTGGGGGTTCTTAAGGGTAAAGATATCTGGCACATAGTGGTTACTTGATATGGTTTTTTGAACCCATATGCAAAACTTTGTAATTAATAAACAAATTGCTTTAGTCTTACTAGTGGAGGTGGCTTTGCAGCAGGAGTTAAGCACTCAAGTCTTTCCTTAATAGGATTCCAGGGTTGTTGGATTTAAGCTCTGAGAAGCAGCAGAAAGAAATAGTTAGTTGTACAGACACTAGAACCAAACTACCCAGGTTCCTACTCCAATGCCATTGTTCACAAAATAAGCAAATTTAACCAGACTGTTATTTAATAAGTACCAGGTTTTAGAATTACCATACTATTCATAATACTCAATACCAATATCCAATACTCAATTTATACCAATATACCCAATTTACTATTCATAATACCCATAATACCCAATACCCATAATACCCAACTTCTTTATGAAGTAGACACCTTTACTATTTCTCAATAGCCTCTGTACCCTCATTTCTTCCTCTGTTAAATAGGAATAATAATAAAAACTCACTTCATTGAGTTACTGTTAGAATTAAAATGGTTAAAAATTGTACAGAATAGTATCTGGTACATAGACATTTAGTTATTACAGGTATAACTTTTTTTTTTTTTTTTTTTTTGCAGTACCAGGATTGAACTCAGGACCCTAAACTTGCCAGGCAAGCACTTATTCCACTGAGCTATCTCCCTAGGCCCTACAGGTATATCTTGTTGTATTATGCTTTTATTACTGAACTTTGCAGATACTGTGCTTTTAAAAATTGAAGGTTTGCAGCAACACTGTGTCAAACAAGTGTATTTGTAACATTTCCATTATTTCAAAATTTTTATGGTGGATCTGGAAAAAGATCCAGTGGTCTGGAGAGAAGATCAGACCAATCACAATATTCTGTATTCAAAGCCAAACTTACGGAAAGCCCCTAACGTTTTTCAATTCTATGAATGCTGAGAAGAAGAAAGGAAATGGTTTAAGATCTGAAGCTACTAAATTTTGCTTTTTGAGGTTTTAGGAAAGAGACCATCTCTATAACATAAAAGTGCAAGGTAAAACAGCAATTGCTGATGTAGAAGCTACAGCAAGTTACCTAGATTTGACTGAGATGACAGATGAAATGGCTGTACTAAACAAATCATTTCAATGTAGACAAAACAGCCTTATATTGGAAGAAAATGACATCTATGTCTTTTATAACCAGAGGAAAGAAATGCCTGCTTCAACTTTTCAAATGACAGGTTGACTATCTCACTAGAGGCTCACATAACTGGTGACTTAAGTAGAAGTTAATGCTTATTTGCCATTATGAAAACCTTAGAGTTCTTAAGAATTATAATAAATTTACTTTGCCTTGGCTCTCTTAATTGAACAACAAAATTGAAATGACAGTACCTTTGCTTATTAACATGGTTTACTCAATATTTTAAGCTAACTTTTGAGACTTACTGCTTGGAAAGACAAAAAAAGCCATTTTACCAGAAAAAATGAAGGACAACTTCTGAGAAGATGGTGGAGAAGTGAGCAGCAGAGATCTGGTGTCCAGACACTGGAACAGAGCAACATGAGAAAGAGAAGGAGTGAAGTAGGTCCCCTGGACCCAAGAAGGATTGATTTGAAGCAAGACCCGAAGCCCAGAGAGTGAAAACAGAAACTTCAGTGAAGAAAGAGATGGCAGGTGGCACCTTTTCCCTCAGCCCGGACTCACTATGTGGGAAAAAGCAGCTCAAACCTGCAGCCACATGGTGAGTGCTGGCCAACCTGGAGGCCTCCAGGGAGAGACACACAAGTGGAAGGGAGTAGTGGATGTGGAGGGCTACAGTGGCTGGTGAGCGGTGCAGGGGTTCAGTGCTTCTGCAGGAGAGGACAACTGGCTGGAAGCCAACTTAGAAAGGGGCCTAAATGGAGCTCAGAACTCAGAACACCTGCTGGCTCCACCTCATGGCCCCCAGCTGAGTTAGAGCCCATAGAGGGTGCACTGACTGCTGCAGGCGCAGTGGGTCCGGTTCCAGCCTCATGGCCACAAAACCAGCCTAACCTTCGGGAGAAATAAGGGTGTAAGCCGACCAGGATTATTTAGCATCCATGCCATAAAGCTATTGCTACCTTGCTGCGATTAAACAACAAGGATCTGGACTGTGCTCACACTGCCAAGCAGTAATGGTACAGACACAACTTGAAGTAGACCACTTCTCCTCTTCTCTTCTCTCTCTCTCTCCTCTTTCTCCACTTTCCCTCCCTCCCCTATTTACCCTCTCTTTCTGTTATTGTTTTTACATGAGTGTGAACTTGGATTCTAGTTTTGTGGTTGTTACTCTGTTTTGTTTTTCTTTTAATTTCTTCTGTCTCTCTTTCTATCCTGTCTTCTATACCAGTTTCTCAAAGTTTGCATGATTTTTCCCTTGTCCTCCACTTTTTTTTTGTGGAACTGGGGATTGAACTCAGGCCCTTTTTATTCTACTGAGCTATCTCCCTGGCCCCTGGCCTCCACTTCTAATCTCATCCTCATCTTCAATTTCTCTATATGCCCCCTCATCCTTTTAAAATTTTCTCCCATTTGGGGAGAATATTACCTGTGGGTAAAATTGTCATATTGAGGGCTTATTTACTGCATACAATTTTCTCACTTGTTTTAAATTTTGCTATATAACCACAAATCTACTTTAAAAGTGGCAAATAGTTATCTCAGTTTGTTATTTTTAAGGCTCTGTTTGATGCTACTGTTACTGACTGCTGTTGTACCACATTAAACAAAATGACATAATTGTTCTAACTAGTTGTTCTTACTGGTATACCAAGACTGAGATTGCCTAAGGACTGTAAAAAATACAATAGGCCACAGCCAAAGAACCATGGGCTGGGGCAAGTAGGCAGTAACTTCTCATACTCAGTACACTGAAGAGACAGGATCTTGTAACTCACTTAAAAACCAAAAGCCAGCTATGCTTGGAACACACTGAGAAGTAGTCATTTCCTAAGAGTTCTAAATATTCATAATAAAGCTATTCACCATAGGCAATTTATAAGCATCAACTCAGAAATGAAACTAAAAAATAGAAAATGAGAAGAAACTTAAACAAGATGCAACCACAGACATCCAGCAAACTCAGGGGACAATGAGTTGGGACAATATGAAAGCCACCCACCTGCCCTCTTCTGAAGTGGTTATAGTGCATGTGACAAGGTAAATGAATGAGGCTCTTGAAAAAAATCAAATTAGATGGGGACTGGGAGATGGCTCAGTAGAATAAGCGCTTGCCTGGCAAGTGCAAGGGCCTGAGTTCAATCCCTGGTTCCGGAAAAAAAAAAAAAAAATCAAATTAGAAGTAATATCTCAGATAACTGCAGAGATGGTGATCACAATAAAAAACATGCTTAGTGACTCTAGAGCAGATACAGATTAAAAAAAAGAGAAGCTTAGAAAAATGGTGGAAGCCATGAATGTCCAACATAGCAAAGAACTGGAGCCAATAAAGTAGGTTCAAACAGATATCCAGGATATTACAAACTCGAATGAAAGTATACATAGTAGGATGAACCCACATGAGAACAAAATCTCTGATACAGAAGACGGGATGGCGGTTAACAATCATGAAAAGAAAGGTTTCTTCAAAGTAAGGGAGGATGAGGAATCAATCAGTGGCTGTTAGATGATGCAAAGAAGAATAAGATGAGATTAATCAGAGTCATGAGGAAGTAAAAAATAGTGCAAATTAAATAAAAAACCTATTTACAATGTCATGGCAGAGAACTTCCCTAGCAGAGAAGAAGCACCTGACATACAGATATGTGAACTACAGTTAGCCATGATCAAAAACAAATCTACAGCAAGGCATATTGATCAAGATTCTAGAAATTCAACACAAGAACACAGTATTAAAAGCTGCTAGAGAAAAGAAGCAAATCTCATATAAAAGAAAGCCCATCTGAATCACAACTAACTTGTCAACAAGAACTCTCAAGTCAAGAGGAACTTGCAGTGAAGTATTTTAAGTCCTAAAAGAAAACATCCTCCAACTCAGACTGATGTACCCTGTAAAACTATCTTTCAAAACTGATGCAGAAAATATGAAGGGTATTTAAAAAGGGGAAAAGGGATTCCTTTCCATATATTACTGTTTGTTGACAAAGTACCTGGCCACCCAAGAGTTCGGACAGAGACATATTGTTAATGTTGTTTCCATGCCTGCTGATAAAACGCTCAGCCCACGGATAGATGAAGAAGTGATTTCTTCATTCACGTTCTCACAATTTAAGAAATACATTGTGTAAGTCTATAGTTTCCATAGACAGTAATTTCTTTGATGGATTTGTATAAAACAAACTGAAAACCTTTTGGAAAGGATTCACCACGCTAGATCCCTTTAAGAACATTTGTGACTTGTTGTAGGTCAAAACATCCTAACAAGAGTTTGAGAGGGGCTGATTCCAATCCTCAATTTTGAGGAACTCAAGACTTCTGTGGAGGAAGTCATTACAGATATGCTTAAAGCAGTAAGAGAACTAAAATCAGAAGAGGGGTCTGAAGATGTAGCTGAATTGCTGAAATTGCATGATAAAACTTTAAAGGGGGAGAAGTTGCTTTCTAGGAATGAGCAAAGAACATAGTTAAGATAAAATTTACTGCTAGTGAAGATGTTGTGAATGTTGAAATGACAACAAAGGAATTAAAACATTATATAAATTCAGTTCATAAAGTAGTGGCAGAGTTTGAGAGAATTCAGTCTCACTTTGAAAGACATTTGTGAAATAAGAGTCAATTAATACAGCAATTTTCATTGCTCTTATTTTTAAAACATCTCTTTATATAGTGATGATTACTCTGATTAGTCAACAGTCATCAATATTACTGAAACAAGACCCTCAACCAGCAAAACTACGACCACTCACCAAAGTCACAGCTGATTATTAACACTTTTTAGCAATACAGCATTTTGAAAATGAAGGTATATACGATTTTTAATATGATGCTTTGCATACAGATGACAGTCCAGTATAAACATAACTATTTTCCCTCACTGGGAAACGAAAAATTTAATGCAGTAGTTTACTGGGAGTATTTGTTTTATCATGGAGTATAAAATCCATAGTACTGATGAGGGGTCCTTGTACTACAAGTAGAAGCTATGACCAAAGTAGAAAATCTACTTGATATAACTTAGCAGATGTTCACTTCAAAGACAAAGAATTCCTTGGGAGACTAAATCATAAGTATTTTCCAGCCACACTGGCTTTATTTCTCTAAGGCAAAACCTAACAGTTGATGCTGAAATGGGACATATAGGAAAAAATACCTCTGAAATCGGTTCTCTGTTCTGCAGTTACTCTGCCAGGTCCCAGATCATCTTGGTGGTACAACTATAGTATACTGCCAAAGGGCTGAATGACATCCTCCTTGGTAGCATCTGTTTTCCTCTCCAGGAGATTAATCCTTTTAAAAAGAGACATAAATTAGATTCTATTGTGCTTATCCTTAGAAGTCCAGTAGCATTTCATAGAATCCAAATTAATAATTTGGCTGAGGCTGAGGGTCTAGCCTTGGCCAATCCTTCCAAATACACTCCTTCTCACAATCTCCCCTCCAGCCACATCAGATTTTATTCACTGACCAACCAATACCTATTTGCTCCCCATGTACTTCTATTTGTAGTCACAGAACTTACACTTTAGGAGGAGGAAAATAAATAAATAAAAACAAAAATATAGCAATTGTTAGCTGTAATAACTACAAAAATATAATTCAAAACCTGTGAATAAATGTGAGGGTACACTTTTGGCTTCAGTAGAATAAGCACTTCCCTGCTAAGTGCAAGGGTCTGAGTTCAATCCCTGGTTCCACCAAAAATAATAAATAAATAAATAAATAAAAACAAAAACTGTCGGGAGAGGTTTCTCCGAGAAGGCAATATATTAGGTAATTTACAAAGGAATGCTGGAGATTAAATATTGGGCCTTCACAGTGAGCTACATCACCAGATTTTTTTGCTTTTGAGAATGGTCTGACTAAATTGCTAAATTGCCCAGGCTGGGCTCAAACTTGTGATCCTCCTCCTGTTTCAACCTCCCATAGTTCTAAGATTAGAGGCATGTGTTTTGTACAATGGTTTCCTATGATTATGCTCCTACCAAACATTTCTGACACAAATATCCTCACTTGGTTAAGATATGTCTAATAAATATCTTCACTGTAAAACTACCTTTGACAATCAAGGAAAAAATCTGTGGTATGATTCTTTGACATAGAGCTAATGTGTTGTTTTCCAACTACCTTTCAGTCAATACATATTACATCCTTTCTTTTATATGCTGAGTAGAAAAAACAAACTCAGATTGCTTCTTTTACAACACAGATTGCTTCTGTGATCCTAGAATATGTGGGGATCTCTCCGACCACAAGCAAGCAAACAGTTTTGCAGTGGACACTAGATGAGTTTCCCCTAATCCAATTCTGACAGTCTAACTAGAAAGAGCATCAGATCACAAGCTGAGAACAGTCCTATAAGATTGCCTCCACTTCAGACCTAGTTGCAAATCTAAGTTCTTAGGAATTTTGATTGACCAGGTATATCTGGGGTTTTAGGATGTTCTCTTTAATAAAATTTTATTAATTTTGCTAGAGTACCTCATAGAACTCAGAGAAACATGATACTTAAATTTATTAGATTATAAAGGATACTTTACAGCATACAAATAAGTAGCTAGATGAAGAGACATATAGGGTAAGCTCAGGAGCTTCTGTCCCCATGGAGTTTGAGTACACCAACCTCCTAGCATGTGTTGAATTTTTGCTCACCTTCCTACAAGCTTCCATGTGTTAAGCTTTCTAAAAGTCCTCTGAACTCTGTCCTTTCAGGCTTTTACGGAGACTTCATTGCATAGGAATGACTAAAGCATGGACAACCATGGAGGAATGTGACTGTACAAAAAGGATGTGATCTAATGATGATGGATGCAGTGAGGAAGCCCAGAAAGGGCTAGATTCTTCTTGGCCTCTCTCTTTCCTCCTGGATATTCCTCCTTTTGAAATAGGGGTCTTCTGACTTACCATTAGAGAAGGTAGAACAGAGAATTTCTTTACAGCCAGTACCAAGACAGAACAGTGGGAGAAGACTAGTTTCTATGAGTTATTTTGGACAAGAGAAATTCTAGTTTCTATGGCCTACCTTGGAGAGGAAATTATAAGCTAGGAACCATAGATTAGAAATCCAAATGTATACATTATGTTATCACATATGCATACCTATAAATTTTAATTTATAAATTAGATATTAATAACAATGAAATAGAATCACAACAATACTGTAGTAAATGTGAATGCAATCTTTTTCAAAATACCGTATCACTCTATTCACTTCTTATAATGATCTGAGCTACACTGATGACATGATAAAAAGGTGACTGACATATAGGTCCTATTGTGTTGTAGCATTAGGTTATTATTATTTTTTTTAAATGTATTTAGCACACAGTCTACAGGGTCTCACTACACAGATCAGACTTCTAATGATCCACCTGTTTTCAGCTTCCCAAGCACTGGGATGACAGGTGTGTGCCACTAAGCCGTCTCAATAGCCTTCTCAGCACACCCCGGGGGTGGGGCCGTCATGGCAAACCCTGGTCCCTAAGCCTGCCTAAGCAGGCGTTTTAGTCTGCTGAGCTATCTGGCCAGCACTTGTAGCATTATTACTGATATCCTGACAATATTTATTTTGAGCACAGTTTACCACAGACAAAACTTTGGAACATGAAACTATGGAAAGGTAGAACACCTGTATTCTTTTTCAGTCTGCTTTTCTTTGGGGGAGGGTCATTTAATAGCACAACCAAGATTTATTTCTAAAAAGTCATTGGAAGGCTTTAAACAAGGTCATTATCATCTTCATTTTAGATTAGAATTGTAACTCTAAGATCATTAGTGTGCAGAGGTACAGGAGCTAAAACAAGATGACCAGGGGAGACTGTGATGGTCTGAACAAGGAGATGAGAAAGGAGACTTTAGTATTTAGTTCACATAAAACCTGAAATAAACAAACATCAACTCCCCTCCCCATAAGGTGAAACTAGAAGGGAGGTTAGGACAAGGATTCTGGGCTTGGACGTGTAAAAATGATCAAAGCATGTTATATACATATACAAATCTGACAAAACTAAACCCATTAATCTGTATAACCAATAAAAAAGTGAAAAAAAAGTGGAAAAAATCCAAAAGTAAAAGAGATACACTTGTTTATAAACTGGATGAGAATTATGATTCTTTGTCTTGAAAAACTGAGTAGACTTTTAGTGATGCCATTTTGATGGAGACAGCTAGCTAGGTCTTCCATTTTGTAGTGGAAAATCTAGGATCCCAAAGTTGAACATTTTAAGTTAGGAGTATCTGTCATATATTCAGTTGATGATATTATCTAGTTGGAACTGAGGGCCATTAAGGAGAAAGGAATTTGAGCGTCAGATTTTATAAAGATGCTATTTAAATCCCTAAGAGTTGATAAGATTGTCAAAAAGAAAAAAAATGGAGAAAAGAATAAAAGGTGATTGCTGGGTGAAAAGGACTGAAGAGTCCTACGACTTAAATTTTGAGAAGAGACAGAAAAGGAGAACAGGATGAGTTGTTAATGAGGCTACAAGCACAAAAGGAGTGGTGGACCCAGCACTCAAGTGTATAATGTTTCAAGGAGGAAACGTTTGTTTATGTGGATGAAATATTCATTGTGGAATGCTGCTCAGAGCTTGAATAAGATGACAGAAAACCTATTTGATTTTTAGTTCCGCCCTCCTCCCAAGGCTAGTATGGGGTTCTGTCTGCCTGAAGGGCTCACTTGTCTTTCCTATTTAGTTAACTCCTAATGATCCTTGGGGATCCAGATCAAACATTTGCCCAGGTTCCCCTAGAAAAATCTTAAAGCTGTAAGAGCATTTCCTTCAAGCTATTCAATACAGTTATAATTCCTCAATTATTTGTATTCTAAGTTGATTATTTCTCCCATTAGAATGTAAGCCCCTTGGGGGCTGGGGAGATGGCTCAGTGGAATAAGCGCTTCCCTGGCAAGTACAAGGGCCTGTGATCAATCCCTGGTTCCACCGAAGAAGAAGAAGAAGAAAAGAAGAAGAAGAAGAAGAAGAAGAAGAAGAAGAAGAAGAAGAAGAAGAAGAAGAAGAAGAAGAAGAAAGAAGAAAGAAGAAAGAAGAAAGAAGAAAGAAAGAAGAAAGAAGAAAGAAGAAAGAAGAAAGAAGAAAGAAGAAAGAAGAAAGAAGAAAGAAGAAAGAAGAAAGAAGAAAGAAGAAGAAGGAGGTAAGCCCCTTGAGGGTTGGTGGTTTACACTTACTCTTTGCCACAACTCTAAGCCTGAACACACAGCAAGTTTTCAACAAGTATTTGCCACGCAATAAATGGATTCAATAGCTGACTGGTACTGAGTGAAAAACTAGTAAAAGCAGTAATATATTGTGAGGCGTAAAACAAAGTACAAACTCAGGCATAGATTTGCCTGCAGGATCAATTAAGACTATGACAAGAACCTACTAATGAATTTTGTGCCAAGTTTGGGATGAAACAAATGTTCCATTTTATCTTTCCTTTCTTCTCTCTTCCATCTACATTTTTTTGTTCATTTTTCCTCATGACACCAAATCCTATTTTCCATTCAGGATTGGTTCACCCCAAATTTGATTATTTTCTGAGGAAAGATAAATCGAGGAGACAGTGGCAAGTTAGTTAGGAAAGGGTGTGATGGGAGATGTAAATACTGCATGACAAAGGTAGGACGACAGGAGGCTCATCAAACTAGGTGTTTCAAAACTGCTAACCAAAAGAAATAGTTGCAAATAGAACCATATGTAAGGGGGTGAGTCCTGATACCCTTTGGCTGAACTGAAATCTCTGCTCCATGTTTTAAGCCTACTACTTAATATTGTGAACTCAAGTTTCCTCAGAATTTATAACACGGGATAACACCTACCTCGAAGGGTTGTTCTCAGGATCAGTGAGACAATCCAGTTTACAAGTTTAGCATGAGTGGCATAAGGTAAACGCTCAATTTATGTGAGCAGTTATTTTTCTTTAAAATGAAGTACAGCGAGGAGAGAGAACCTATGCAGCGAAGTGTTACGTGGTTTTAACAGTAAGAACTACACTCAGAGACGACACATTAGCACTCACATTTGGGGCACAGCAAAGACCTTGCCTAGGACGGGATTGTCACAGTACAACTTGTAGACACAGCTACTTTACACCTTCGGAAACCGGGGGGGGGGGGAAGAAAAATGTTTATAAAAATATATTCTGGGATAATTTTGTTTCGCTCATGAGGGCCACTTTTGAAGACAGGAAGCTTCACGCAGCGAGGAAAGCAAGCCTGGATCCGGTGACTTTTTCCGGCCCTGCAGGGACAGGACCTGGAGGGGAGTAGCCCGCCACTGCTCAGCCCGTCTGTGGCCATGTCCGGGAATAAGTGCGACGCAAGTGCTCTCACCTAGGCGATTTAGCTGTTTCTCGTCACAAGAACGCAATCCGAGATTCTCACCCAGCCAGCTAACAGGCGATAGCTACGGCAGCCCGCGTGGAACGCTCGGAGCGGGAGCACGTTCCGCGCCGAGACGGCCGCCGAGCCCGTCTCTGCCCATTGGCCGCTCGGAGCTCCAATACCCGCCCCCCGATTTGAAAGCTTCATCCGGGAGCGGCTGGGAGGCCCCCAGTAGAGCCCGCCCGAGCCCCGCCCACTCCCAGCGTTCCGTGCGGTGCTCGAGCCGCCATTGTTTGAATTTGAAAAGGAAAATACAGCTTTGCGAGTCTCCTGACCCGACTCTCCTGGCTTGGTTGTGGGTGAGGAGGTGACGAGTGAGGGTGAGGAGAAGGAAAAGGAGGTGGAGAGAGAGGTGAGTGACTGGATTTGTGGCAAGCCTTAGGCAGAGAAACAGCCATGGAAATGCTCACCTTTTCTGTGGGATTCCTGAGGCCCCTGTCAGGAGCGGGTTTTGGGGCGGTGGGGCGCGGCGAGCCTTGAGTCACACTGCTCCGGTCCTGGTTTAGATCTCGTTTCGACCCCCTGTTAGCTGCCTGAGGAAAGACAGCTTATTCATCTCCTTGGGCCTCGGTTTCTTCATCTGTTAAAAGGTGGTAATGATAGTACGTTATCTTAGACCACTTTTGAAGATTAATAATGTGTACATTACCAATAATAATGTGGACAGTTGTGAAAACACTGCTTGCACGTCAGAAGACAATGCATTTTTGGAACCATTAATCTTTTATTATCGTGGTTGCTTGTGTTACAGGCCTGCATGCCACACCTACAGCCCGGAATCCCTGAGGTGAGCAGTTTGTTCAGCAGATGACCTGACCACTTTCTAGGGAAGCCCATGTCAACTACTAGACGGGCTCAGAGTGACTAAAAATAGGTTTATTCGGGCTATCTTGAAATCCAGAAGGTGCATACAAAATTGAGTTGATATTACGAATTAAACCTGTTAATTTGTGATTTAAGGGCTTTTGTTCTGAGGTTTGCTGTGCTGTGTAGAAATAAATTGTCAATGTTTATTTACAACCTTCTCAGGCCAGAAACCCTACCTACTTCAGCAACCACTGTTCTGGATGTTAATAAATTTATCTAAGAATAGAACTAAGAATTTTCTCTTATCTCTGATGTTGTATACCTAATAGATTACCAGATTTTGAATATTACTTTTTCATGGAAAGTTAGTCTTAAGTTTAATTTGGTGATGTTTCATTCAGTTGTAATAATTTACTAATGCATTCATTACTCAGCTTAAGACCTGTAATGTGTCAGGTACTATTTTATATATGTACCTGGTTTTTTCTGGTACTGAGTATTGAAACTGTCAGACATGCAGGGCAAGCCCGCTAGCACTGAGCTACACCTTCAGTTCAAGTACTGCTTTGAATTGTATTCTTAGTGCATTATTTTATTTTTTCTTTCACTTGGAAGAATTAAATGTAAAAGACTTTACCAGATAACTTCATTTAACTTCTAAGTGTTAAAATAACATTCTTTACAAGACACTAAGTAACTAAAATACCACAGGATCATATATCACTGGGTGACCTCTTTACTATTTGATTTCTGAAATGAGTTCAGGCAAAGAGTGGACATTGTCATACTTAACAGATTAACTTTTTTGGGAAATGTTTATGGATGGGTCTGCTGATAGGTTGGCTAATATAAATGGTAATAGGGTGTGTTCAATATTATTTGGTTCAGGTTCTGTACATATAATTTGATTTTTTGTCTTTCTCATAGGTGATTGTGTTATAAATGAAGAACTAAATGCTTTCCTTTTATAAAGTCTAGTTTATGGAGGGGAGTAGTAGGCTAGACTGAAGACTTTAAATGGTGGGTATCTGCTAACTTACAAAGGTTGTCTAAAAACGTTGACATTTTTGTTGCAGAATGGAATCTAATTGGAATCAAGATGCAGTGCCTAGACCATCCTATGTTTTTAGTGCTGACCCAGTTGAAAGACCTTCAGAAATAAATTTTGATGGCATCAAGCTTGATCTTTCTCGTGAATTTTCCTTAGTTGCTTCAAATACTGAGGTAACGGAAATGCAAGAAAAGTACTATATTGATTGTCATAATTGAGAGGAAATGTGTGCATGTCACTGTAGTAGAAAATCCTGAACTTCTGGATTTAAGGGAACCTAGTGTCTCAGTAACTTTTTGTGGACTCTTACAACAAAAGAAAGAAAAGTTTTCAAGAAGTAGATGTTTTCTTTTTTTAAGTAGGTCTTCAAGTAGTAGATCTGACCAACTTAATAATTATACATGCTCTGATCTGGTATCCATTTTAAAATAATTTAAAAGAATTTTGAAGGTTTATTGTCTGATAACTGTACCTACTAACTAGTGAAGTATGTGTGTGGCCTGCTCTATTGTGATCTGGAAACAAATCTGAGGTAGTTTTGTTTCTGAATTAGGTAGTACTAGTCCTCCAAATTTCTTTTTTTCCAGAGTTTAGCTCTTCTATGTACTTTACATTTCTTTCTTTCTTCCTTTCTTTCTTTCTTTTTTTTTTTTTTTTTTTTTTTTTCCCAGAACCGGGAATTGAATTCAGGCCCTTGTGCTTGCCAGGCAAGTGCTTATTCTACTGAGCCATCTCCCTGGCCCCTGTACTTTACATTTCTAAATGAAATTTAAAATGAATTTTGTCATTTTCTTCAAAACAGCTTGAGATAGCATTGACCTGTAGATCAATTTTAAAAGACTGTTATTTTTTTTTTGAGACAGGCAGGCCTTGAGACAGGCTGGTGTTGAACTCACAGCAATCTGCCTACTCAGCCCCCCAAGTGCTGGGATTATAGGTGTGTTCCACCCTGCATATATCCTGCATGTATAATGGACCTGGACTTTTCTTTGGGGGATTATTTTGTTTGGTAATACATTACATTTCTTCAACAGATATGCAGTTACTTAATTTTTTTTAGTTTTTGTATTGGTTTTGAAAGTTTTATTTTTCAAATAATTATTTCTTTGTAATTTAAAATTTAAGACATATATTGAGGCTTTCTTTAAATGTATAAAGAAAATAAAGTACAAGTGTTTAAAAATGGAAATGAAATAATGTTGTCATGGAAATTCTGTGTGAAACCAGTCACCCATGTTAAAAGAATGATCTATGAACTGACATTTTCTATATTTTACAAATATAGTTTTGTTTTTCTTTAGGCAAATAATTTGGAATCTAAAGATTATCTTCAGGTTTGTCTTCGAATAAGACCTTTTACACAGTCAGAAAAAGAACATGATTCTGAGGTTTGTGTTGAATTTAATTGAATTTTAATATTTCTATTTCATTAAAATGGAAAATAACATTATTATTTACTGTGGCAATATGTTGTAGGGTTGTGTACATGTTGTAGATTCACAGACTGTTATGCTGAAAGATCCTCAAAGCATCCTTGGCCGGTTAAGTGAGAAAAGTTCTGGGCAGATGGCACAGAAATTCACTTTTTCTAAAGTAAGTACCTGTGAAATGGAACTTGAGGTTTGAGTATGGCATAGAGGGTGATAGTACAGGTTGAAGCCAGTGTGTTATGAATATATAGCCTCTATTCTACTATTGAGCTATAACCCTATCTCCCTGTTCCTTTTTATAGTGAACTATTTATTTTATGCTAATAGGAGTTGGACTTCTAGCATTTGTGTTATTACTTAAGAATAGGACTTAAGTCCTATTATAAAAGTGTATAACTGAGATTCAGAAAATCACTATAATTTTAAGGTTTTTTTGTTTCTATTTTCTGTTTGATATCAGAGATCAAGCTCAGAACTTTGCACTTACCAGGCAGGTGCTTATGTCACTGAGCTATCTCCCTAGCCCTATAGTCTTAAGTTTTAAAAATTTTTAAGAAACATATATTGAAGCTTTCCCTGTATGACTGTGTGGGTCAGACTTTCTATCTTGAAAACTCGACTTGCTGATAGGTTAAACTGTCAAGTGTACTTTTTGTAGCAGGAATGGAGCCAATTTCGAGAAAAATCTTATGAAACTAAAGTTTTACATATGAGATATAGGGTGGAACTCACTGCAGATATTTACTTGAATTTTCTAAAAAGATGTCTTAAAACATGCTTTCTTAGGTTTTTGGCCCTGAAACTTCACAGAAAGAATTCTTTCAGGGTTGCATTATGCAGCCAGTAAAAGACCTCTTGAAAGGACAAAGTCGGCTGATTTTTACTTATGGGCTAACCAATTCAGGAAAAACATATACGTTTCAAGGTAAATATTATTTGTCTGGAAAGGAAAAAGAAGCAGTAATAGTCTGTCAGTATTTTTATAATTGTAGTAGTTTTGTATCTATCACCTTGTAAACATTTACTCCATTGTTTAAACTATTGGTTATTCATTTATTTATTTTCCCTTTTCTTTAAGTATTAGGGATCAAACCTAGGGCTTCATGCATGCTAGGCAAATGCTCTATCACTGAGCATATCCCTGGCCCTGCTGCTGATGAGTTTTATTTAATTCGTTTGTAAAAACGTCCAGCTGATGGAGGTTCAGGTGATCAGACTTTGGAAAGAGGATTGATATGTAGAGAATTAAACATGGATTACCAATGAAGCTTTTTCATTTTACTTTTATGTTTTGTGATTATAGGTGATTGCAGATCTTAATCTTATGACCTAATCTGAATGTAAAACTTTAGAGTTCACAGAATAATGGTCATTAAAATGTTAGTAATACAGCATAGATCAAAGTGATGGAAAACTGAACCGTCTCTCAGTTTCACTTGTGATTCAGTTATTTATTCTAATGTAAGAGAAAGTTTTAATAGCTCAGGAACAGTCCCTCTTTCCTACTGGTGAGAGAGTATAGCACAAAATCTCTTTTCCAGGTACAGAAGAAAATACTGGCATTCTGCCTCGAACTTTGAATGTATTATTTGATAGTCTTCAAGAAAGACTGTATATGAAGATGAACCTTAAGCCACATAGATCCAGAGAATTCTTACGTTTATCACCCTCCCAAGAGAAAGAAGAAGGGGCTAGCAAGAGTGCTTTACTTCGACAGATTAAAGAGGTATGCAGTGTTTTGGTATATAAAATGTCATGACTTTTATTGGCTCTTCACATTCTTTCAACATACAGTGTCAGTCGCTTTGTGGTGCTGGTTTTTCTTTTTGAGAAAAATATCTAAAACTACTTTGAAAGTATTTCATGCTGAAAAATAAGAACACTTAAATATTACAAATGTAAATAGTTGAGCAGTCACTTTTGGTTAGTTTAAAAGCATTGTGGGCTGGGGAGATAGCTCGTTGGCCTAAGTGCCTGCCTGGCAAGTGCAAGAACCCAGGTTCAATCCCCGGTACATTACGCTGTTCTGGCCCTGGATTGTGCTGGCCACTGAAACTGGGTGTGGAGGCGCATGGCTGTAATCCCAGTGCTGGGGAGGCTAACATAGGATCACTAAGAGTTCAAGCTGTGTAGTGAGACCCCTGTACCAAATAAATAAAAGATTTTTAAAAAATTTTAAATAAAACCAGCATTGTATGTATAAAGATAATATATATACACATA